GTGGAGTGCAGGGGAGGGGGTCTGACACCCGCCTCCCCTCCCCCAGAAGCAGCACTTCTGGCCCAATCCGACATCTGGCTTTCCCCCTTGATACACCCCAGGGCTCCGGTCAGCTGCTCAGCGGCCCTCACCACCACTCACACCCAGGAGGCCCAATCTCCGGCCACGATGTGGCAGCCCAGTTACCTCCACAACCGGCTCATCCATGCTCGCTGCTGCCCAGAGTGTGCCCATTCAGACCGCAGGCTCCACTCCCCCCCCTCCCCCGGGTCCCCAGGCATCTTAAACATCCTCCTTAGCATGGATTCAGGGATCCCAACAGGCAGCATGACTTAGCAGAGGTGTTTTGGGACCAGATGCCCACACTGCCCTGAACAGTGGCCTTGAATCTGACCTCAGGCAAGTCCCAAGCTCCTGCTATGCTACTTCTGCAAACCACACTGAAGCCTTCTAGAGAGCGGACACCAGAGCACATCTTCCAGACACTCCAATCTTACTCGATCTCGGTTTCCATTACCAACCTGGGATGCCAAACGACACCCAACCCCAGAGTGCTTCAAATCAGCAAGCGCCGATCAAGTCTTTCTGCACAGAAACACACTTTCTATGGGACAGCGCGTGCCATGTGCTGATCCCCCGCTTGTACTCAGCCAACTGCTTACGAGCAGGGCACATATTCTGCAGGGTGCAAGGCAGGGGGCAGGGAGGAGGAGGCACAGGCGTGCTCCAGAGAGGAGGACTGTGGACAGCTGACAGCACCGGCACAATGCCAGGTCCCAGGGGACATGGACTAGGCGCAGGGCCGGGGGGACCACAGCCCAGTCTTCCATTGTGGCTGTGCAGATACACAGCAAGCCAACCAGGCATCAGCAAAGCCAGGGACATGCAAGTCCAAGGGAGCCAAAGATGGGTGTGCACAACCTGCAGAGACACAGACGGAGGCCAGCAGGCAAGTGGGGTCCTGCGTTGCGGCAGCAGGACTGGGCCTCCAGGGAGAGGTGTGCAAGGACACTTGGGCAAGAGAGAAGGCAAGTCCCAACTTGAAAGGCACCCGCCTTCCAAACCCACTGAGCCTCAGAGTCCCTTCTGAAGAGGAAGACAGAAAAAGTTACAATAACATTTCCTTCCACTTGCTGCCAGCTGGGCTTGTCTGCTTTCCTCTCAGGCTCTGCAACAGTATCACTGTTTGTCCAAGAGAAAGTATCCACAGGCTTGTCAATGTGTAACAGCATGCTTCCACACTAAGTATAAGATTTTCCAGAAAACACACACACACACACACACACACACACACACACACACTCTCTCTTTCTCTCTCTCACTCTCTCTCTCTCTGCAGGAAGGAGTTGACACCACCACCACCTGCACATACAAAAAGGAAAGCCCCTTGCAAACATTTCTTTCTACAAACTGAACTTTCTCTTAAAAAAAAAAAAGAAAAAGTAACAAATTGCAGTTAAGGAATTCCCAGGGGCGTAGTCAGCTAAGCCTGTACCTGCAGTACCGGCAGCCCATATGGACACCAGTTTGAGTCCCAACAGCTCCACTTATGAACCAGCTCCCTTCTAATGGCTTGGGAAAGCAACAGAAAATGGTTCATGTCCTTGGACCCCTGCATCTGCGGGGAGGAGACTCAGAAGACGCTTCTGGTTGCTGGCTTAGAACTGGCCCAGCTCTAGCCATTATGGCCATTTTAGGGGTGGACCAGCAAGTAGAAGGTCTCTGGCCCTCCTTCGCTCTCTGTAACTATCATTCCACTAGAAAGAAAGAAATCTTCGGGGGAGGAGGGGAGGAATTCCCAAGGGACACACATGCAAAGAACAGGAGCAGTGGCCCTAAATCCAGAGGCCCAGATCCCTAACCTGTAATAAAGCCAATATGGGCAGCTTTTACCTGTGTCTAACTCTTGTATCCACATCAACATCCGGGCAGGTCCCCATGCTGTGATCCTTGCAATCCAGCAACCCATCTCACAGGTGAACAAAGCAATGTGTTGCAGAGTAAAATGAGGCTCACCTGGGGGTGTAGGAAGGCTCCAAGGCCTGTGCAACACACAGCTACAGAAGGGTCTCTAAGGCCAGGGCACAGCTGCCTCACACCCAGAAGAAGAGGACTGTAACGTAAAGAAAGGGCCAGGAGGACTGTGCAGGATCCTCCTCTACTGTTTCCTAGTGTGTGCACATGTTGCTCTGTCCAAGCCTTGGCCTTCAAGCACCTCACCCCAAGGTCTTGGGCCCAGAGCCCTCCCCAGCATCCATCCATGGCCCTCACTCTACCATCCAGACCCATGGCCTGGCCAGGCTGGGCCAAGCAAAGTGTGAGCCCTCCACACACAACTCTCCCTCCCTCCCCTCCCACTTTACAGAATCTCAGAAGCCACTGCAAACAAACAGCGAGCTGTGTTCTACCCCAGGTAAAGGCCGACCTCCAGGCCCACCAAGGCCATGGCAAAAGCTGACACGCAGATGACAGCAAGTGTCACCCCACACACTGTTTCCTTCACTCACACAACCCGCTGGCTCCCACCCCTGAAATCGTGAGCTATCACTCAGCGGCAGCGGCCTGAGGCCAATCACTGCCACCCACCCTGCCTGCAGCCCTGAGTGCCAAGCACGGAGAGAGCTTCTCTGAGTACCAGGTTGTGCGCACAGCACAGCTCCTACAACTCCCACCCTGGCAGGCACTGGCTGTACCCCCATGGATCATGGCTGGCAGAGAAATATCTCCATGACACAGGCCCCGACGCCCAGGATAGCACCTGGTTGAGGGTGGATGCAAACTGTCACAGCGGGAGGAGGGGGGAAAGTTGCATGTCATTCATTGGAAGCTTCCTTGTCATGGATGGGATGGAATGTCATGGCACTCTATCATACAAACACATAAACACTCTCCCTGAAGCAAACACAGCTCATACGCCAAAACAGTGGTCCCATCACACTGCCAAATGCCTCCACGAGTCTTTCTCTTAGAGCTTGCTTTGCTTTTTCTACAAACCATCCAATACGGCCTATCCATACTTTCCCTCCCACTGTACTGGAAGACACGGTGACACAGGGTCACCTAGCCGCCTGAGCACCAATCCCTCCTCCAAGAGGGTAAGGGCCAGATCAGAAAACAACAGCTCCATGTTGCAAGGCCTGGCCTCCCAAGCAGCGGGAGAGAAGTGTGTAAGACTCAGGACCAGCCCTTGTCATCTGGTCACCCAGTCATCCCTTCCGGGGCAAGGTTAACAGCCAAAGGCACGGGGGAACCTGCCAGTACTCACTCACTTGGCCTCTCGCAACACTCCAGGGTCACGAACCTTGTGATCCCGAAACCCCAGGCGCATTTTCCAGCTCACCTGCTCAGCTGTGAGCTTGCTCCCCAAACAGCATTTACAGGAAACTGCCAACACCTCCAATCACCTGTGCCTCAGCCTCCTGCTTCCCTCCTCCTCTCATCGCATCCTTCTCAAACCCACCCCCCTTTTCAAGCCTCAGCTAAAACACACAAAAATCCAATTCCCTCGCTGAGGCCTCCCTCACTCTACCTGCCCACATCATTGAGACCCAGCAGCTTCCTGCCCTCCACATCTGTCCAGTCCCCTGGACACTACCAGATGTCCTACAGACCACCTGATAATTCCATCTCTGCAGACAGACATGTGTTAAACCGCATCCCCCGGAAACAGAACAGATGGGGCTGTTTTTAGGCAGATACAGGGAACTCCTCTCAGAAGCCTGCCTAGGCGCACATCAGACTCAATTTTGCTCCTTTCTCAGCTTCTTGGAGTTGCCTTCCTGAATCGGTGGACCGATCCAGTCCATACCTCCTCTGAAAGGTGTAGGTTATAAACCTTCATGTACTAGCCGATCTGGGAACACTGACCCCACACGCAGGTTTTTCTTCTTGGTCAGCTTTGTAAGAAACAGGGGATCCCAATCTCCGCTGATTTTGATTTGATTTTCAGTACAAGCCCACACGGGACCTCTTCTCGGCAAAGTCATCAGCGCCCTACCCCAGCAACAACCCGCACAGAGACAACCTCAGGCTGTTTTTTTCCAACATATACTAAAACAAAAGAATGAGGCAAGGGGGTGGGAGGAAAAACTTTTCCTCTTTGCTTCCTAGGGCGCACAACCAAGTGGGGCCATCCGGGCTTAATCGCCTGGATAGGGCACCAGCGACCCCCGGGGCGTGGGGCACGTGCGGGAGGTAAAGTCAGCAGGAGGAGGGGGCTTCCCAGCCAGCACGTGCCCTTCACACCACCCCCAACCTCCCGTGGTCCTCACCGGGCAACTTTGGGTCCGCAGGCGGACTCCCCAGTCCTGAGTTCTTAGGGAGTCCGCCCAAACGGGCCTCAGTCCTCACAGCCCCTGGCCACGCTGAGCCCCCAGCACCGTAGCTTCCCCCCCAGGGCCCCATCCATGGCAGCAGCAGGAGGAGGAGGAGGAGTGGGCGGCTGAAGGCTACAACTCTTCCCGCGCCCGAGGCCAGGGCAGGAAAACCAAGAAGGGGCCGCGGCCGTGAAACTCTTCTGGCACCAAAAACTTCCCACTCCCGCCACCTCGGTGCGCGAGGGGCCTGGGAGCGGCAGCCAGGCCTCGGGCTGGATTTGCACGGCCCCGCAGCTGGGTCGGGGGCGCGTCCAGCCCGCTTCTGCCTGCGCCCCAGACGCAAAGGAGGACGCGCCCCCGCCCTGGCCCGAAGGCGCGCCCCACCCCAGCCAGCCCAATCTCCCCTAGGGTCTCATCCGGACCATCCCGAGGCCCGAGAGGACACCCCTGGCCGCCCGCAGGCCGGGGCGGGGGCGCCAGCGAGGCCCGGCCGGGCCGCCGCGAGTCCCTTTCCCCGCCTCCGCCGCCTCCCTCCTCCCTCTCCAGGAAGCGCCATGTTGATCCCGGCGCCTTCCCCTCCTCCTCCTCCTGCTCCTTCTCCTCCTCCTTCCAGTGCTGCTGCCCCCTCCAGACTCCCCCGGCGCCCTCTACTCCAGGCCCCACGCCCGGCGCCCCCAGCCTCACCTTGGCGATGGCTTTGCGGTACCGGGTCACCGCTTGCTGCACGAGGTTGAAAACTTTCATGCGGCCGTCCCCGCACGGTACGACCACCCGGGTCCGCCCGAAGCACACGGTCACTTTCATGCCGCCTGGGCCGCCGCCGCCACCGCGGCCCGGCCAGGGCCCTGGCTGCGCGCGGCCGGAGCAGCCCGAGCCGGGCGGCGGGGAGCTGGGCGAGGCGCAGGGGCGCGGGGGCGCCGTGTGCGCCGGGGTGGGAGGAGGAGGAGGAGGGTGCCCGGGCCGTCCGTTCGCTCACTCGCTCGCTCGCTCGCTCGGCCGCCTCCCGCCACCGGCGGCCTCCGCCGCGCTCCGCCTGGCCTCTGCCCGCGGCCGCCTCCGGCCACCTGTTCGGCGTCTGGGCGCGCGGAGGCGACGGCGGCGGCGGCGGCCCGGGGCTGTGTGGCGCGGGCGCTCCCGGGCCGCGGGGAGGGGACGGCGCGAGGGGAGGGCCGGAGGAGGGGCAGCCCGGCGCACAACACGGCGCACATGAGCGGGGGGCGCGGCCGCCGGGCGCGGGGCGGGGCGCACGGCGGCCCCAGCCGGACCCCGGCCCCTCCGCGGGCCGCCCCTCCACACCCCCGTGTCTTTCTTTGTCGCTTTACATCTCCCCCTCGTGGGACCGGGACCGCAGTGCGGGCGTCCTGGACTCGCAGTGGCCCGTGGCGCTGCAGAAGCTGATGGGGGCCGGGTTGTTGTGTGCCCAGAGCAGAAGCTCCAAGATGCGATGGGCTACAAGAAGGACCCGACCTGTGTCCCGGGCTCTCGGTGTACCCCATAGCTTACCCCCTCCCTTCCCGCACACCGGGCACTATCTGCCAGCCTCATCCTCGCTCCAAGATGTACACAACTTAAGTCGCCACCTCAGCAACGGCTAGCTGGCATTTTTCTTGAAAACTCTTCGGTCCCGGGAGCTGCCGCCTTCGGCGGCGCCTCGGGGTCGCCAGGCTGGGGTGCGGGATGCAGGAATGAATTCCTCCAGTAGCTGCGCGCACGATTTGGCAACACAAGGAAAAGTCAGGAAAGTAAAGGGGATGGGTTTGTTTTTTTGTTTTGTTTCTCTGCCTGAGTTCTGAGCCGTGATTGCGGGCAAATGTCAGCCGCGAATCCTGCCCTGTTGACTCCGATGTGCCTCAACCCTGAAGGAAATTTCCTTTTTTCCCAGAAATTTCTACCCATGATGTAAGCCCGGGAGGCTCTCAAGAGCTGCGGCAGAACTGGGATTTCGAGCTGGAAATGCTGGCAAGCTGCCAGCCAGCCCACATCCCCGCCCACTGTAAATGTTTATTTATCTTTTTTTTTTTTTAAAGGTACAGAAAGTGACTTTGAGCGGATGGAGTTCACTCCTCCAAAGGCTCCCTCCTCCCCCGACCCCCAACAACCAGAGCTGAGCCCAGCCAAAGCCAGGAGCTTCCCATTCATTCCCAGGCTCCCACCTGTCCGCTTGGAGCAGCCAGGACAAGAACCAGCGACACTAGGGCTATAGGCAGATAATAAGCCTACTATGCCACTATACAGGCTCCTACAGCAGTAACTTTAATTCAAAATGTAGTAAGCACCAGCCACGTGATTCCGGCCATGATGTGCAGTGGGGCAGAACATCAGTAAGAGAGGGGACATCTGAGTGGGCCTATTCCATTTTAGTGACATCACCGCCTTTCACTCTTTCATGCTTCAGTTATTACTAATGTTTTTGCACAGTCATTCAGAAATACGACCTGTACGGGCCAGAGGCATAGCATCCCATGTAGGCACGGGTTCGAGTCCCAGCTGCTCCACTTCCCATCCAGCTATCTGCTAGTGGCCTTAGAGGTCCTTGGGCCCCTGCACCCACATGGGAGACCCAGAAAAAAACTCTCCAGGTCTGGCTCCCATGCAGTGCATCGAAGCAGCTGCTTCCGTGTGGTTCTTGGCACAGGTGCAGCAGGAAGCCAAGGATTCCCCCAGCCCGGATCCGGAATGCACAGAAGTGAGAACTTTGTGGGCTGTAGGAATGACCACTACACTGCTGTGCTCTCCATATTGCCTTGGGACACAGCAGCATCCTGCCAATGACCCACCCTCCCCTCCCCAACATCTGTTCCCCTTGTGCTGTGCTGGAACATTCTTCCTCCTGCCACATGCTTGTCACTCCTATCCACTTGATCCTTTACATCTTCTGTGCACCCAGCACAGTGCAAGGATCACCACCCAGCCCTCACCGGGCTCCACGCTGCCTGCCACCTTCTCCCGGGACGCTGACGCCCATCTGACGTGGTCTTCTTGTTGCCTCCCCCAGAAGAAAAGTAACAGCTTTGGTCTCTCTGGTCTCCCATGTCTATAGTGCTTGGTCCCCAATGGGTGCTCAGTACATATGTGTCCCAACACCTGGGTCACACATGACCTACAGGACACCTGTCACATGGTAGCGAGGTAGGGGGATCTTACCCAGCGGGCCTGCTGGCAGAAAGCAGTCTGCTAAGGCCACAGTGCCGGCATCATTACTAGTACTCTCTGACATGGTGATTGCCCAGCCTGTCTCTGGTCCTGTTCAGGGCGGGCCCATGGTCCTGCCTTCACACGTGTGTGAGAGAGGCATGGATCCATGAGTACACAACCGTGCCTCCGGCACACTTGTCTGCTTAGAGCAGGCCTTAGCGAACGCTGGCCCACAGGCCAAATCTAGCTCCCCACCTGTCTCTGCTTTTGTTTCGCATGTGTGTGTATTTGTTGCAGAGGTTGAGAGACACAGAGAAAGATCATTGGTTCATCACCACCACCCCCCACAAATGCCAGCAACAGGTGGGGCTGGGCAAGGCCAAACCAGGAGCATGGAACTCCAGCCAGGTCTCCCACATGGGTGGCGGGGATCCAAAAGCATCAGCCATCACCTGCTGCCTCCCGGAGTGTACATGTTAGCAGGGAAGACTGGTGTCAGCACCAGAGCCAGCACCTTGTACCCAGGCATGAGAATGTTCACTTTGAATCCAAACGCCTACCCCACACCACCTGGTCCTGTGTACTTCGCTAGCCAAGAATGATTTTGGCAGTTTTGAATGAGAAAAAGATATTTGGTGGCCTAAAATGGAAAATCCTGTGTTGATGAGGACATGGGCTGCTCCTTGGTATCCTCATGCAGGGTCCATCTTAGCCTGGCACAGGTAGACTGGGGACAATGAAGTCTGACCACGCACACCCTGGCTTTTCACAGCTTCCACTTGCCGGCCCCAGCTACAGTCATGTCTGAGACTAGATGGCGGGGGGCAACACTGGTTGTGAAGAGCATTTCCTTCCAGTCTCAGAGGCAAGGCCTGTCTTCCCACATTTGCCTCTTGGTCTCAGACCTGCACGATCTCCCAGAGCTCTCACATCCTTGTCTGCTGCAGCTGATGCACATGGAAACAGCCCCAGTGCATCACCACCTTGGAGGAGGGACCAGTGTTGTGGTCCAGCAGATAAAGCAGAGAAGATTCAAGCAGTCCTAGCGGCTCCACTTCCAATCAAGATTCCTGCTAATGTGCCTGGAAAAGCAGCAGATGCTGGTCCAAGTGCTTAGGCCCCTGCAGCCATGTGGGAGACCTGGATGAAGCTCCTGCCTCCTGGTTTGGGACTGCCCCACCTCAGGCTGTTGAGGCCATTTGGGGGCGCAAACTAGTAAATGGAAAGTATCCCTGTCTCTCCTTCTCTCTGCTTTTCAAATAAATGAATCTTTAATAGGAAAGGGGCATGGGTGTTTTGCTGTGGCAGGGTTCTTAGGACACCTGCATGCTAGGATCGAGTCTAACTTCCTGTTTAGCTTCCTGTTGTTGCAGCAGGTGATGGTCCATGTTAGGAATTTCCACCATTAATCCATTGCCAGACTCAGCCGGTCAGGCAAAAGGTCTTTATTCTAGCGGGAGAGCGGCCAAGGGAAAGAAGAAAAAGAAGAGCAGAGGAGGATGACCACAGGAAGGGAGAGAAGGCAGAGAGAGAGAGATCTGCTGCCATCGTAACAGGAGGAAGCTCCGAGGGAAGAGAAAGAGACAGCAGAGAGGGCAGGCACCTAGAAGCGATCTTTTTTGACCAGGGAGAGAGCATTGGGAACACAGGGCTATGTGGGATTGGTGGATAGGATTGTCAGGGGATTGGTGGATGTTGCGCTAGGCGGGTACAAGGGGAGGGGCCGCAGAGGATTGGTGGTTAGGACTGTCAGGTGAAGTGACGTGAGGTTATAGCGGATAGGTGCAGAACAGGGTTGCGAGGCTACAGCAGATTGGCGGCCAAGAAAATTTGAACCTAAACAACGTGAGCTTTAAGGAAACCAAGACCTAACAGAAACAGATATTTAAAATGGCGTTGAGTCTAAAATGGTGGGGTCTTATCAATCCTCGGGGCAGGGTCTTAAGCAATCTTCGTGGCGATGTTTGAGTCATTCCTAAGTCCTTGCCACTCATAAGGGTGATGAGAATGGAGTTCACACCTTTAGTTTGGGCCAGCCCCAGCCATTAAAGCCATTTGAAGAATGACCCAGTGGATAAAAGTACTCTCTCTCTTGCTCTCTCTTAAATGACTATCTAATAAATAAATCTCCTTTTCTTAATAGCACGATTAACATCCAGGCACTAGGAAATCCTGTGTCTGGAGGGATCAGGGAAGCAGGTAGTAGAAACCGATTGTGGAAGGATCTGTGAGTTTCCTCTAAGAATCCAAACAATTTTATTTACTTTCATTGAAAAGGCAGATATAAAGAGGAGAGAAAGATCTTCCATCTGCTGCTTTATGAGAGCAGCAGATCCACGGTTGAGACATGGGAAGGCAATGGGATGAAAGCCAGAGAGCCTGAATTCAAGCCTTGCCTCCGCAGGCAGGCTTTGGCCAAGCGAAGGAGCCAGTGGTTATGACCGCGAATCATGCAGAGGCATCCCTCTGCGGTAGTGGATGGGCAATCTCAGAGCAGAAACATTGTGGAAAAGGCGCTGGGTCCTGCCTATGCTCACTGCTCCAATGACCTTGGGATTTTCTGACCTATACGCATGCTAATAGTGAACTCTTAAAAACAAGTATATCTCATTTACTTGAAAGAGAGAGGGAGAGACAGAGACAGGCAGCATCTGCTGGTTTACTGCTGTATATGGC